TAAATAAAGTTTTGAAAATTATAAAAGTCATTTTTTAAATGCTTTTTTTTAAATGAAATTCAAAAAAATAATAAAAAAAGGAAAACTTGTTTTAGTTAAAATTAAATTAAAATAATTCGAACTTTAATAATTTTATGATTTTAATGTAGAAATTTTAATTTTCCTTTAATAAAATGTACTTTAAGGTTAATTCGAAAATAATAATCAATAATTATTTAAAATTATTAAATATAGTCTTTGCTATTTATAAAGTATTAATGTATTAGTCTTGGATTAGAGATTAGATAAAATAGATTAAATAATATAATTTTGTTTCTAATATGAGTATTATATTGATAGTGAATAATAATTGGAATAACTTTAGAAAGTTTTAGGAAAAATAAAGAGATATTTGATTTATTTTATATCTACATTATTTATATTTAAAGGATAACAATAATTCAAATGTTTAATTTATTAGAAGGTTTAAAGATTTATTATTGGAGAACTTAAATTTTAGAATAATTAAGAACTTTAAGAATAATTAAAAAAATGCTTAATTAAAGATGATTTTTAAAAAATTATTTAAAATTTTAACTGTTTATATAGTGTTAGTTATTCTAATATTTTTTCAAGTATAATTGACGAAATTTTTATTGAATAAATAGGTGAGGAATTTACTGAAATCGAAAATTAATAAAATGAATTTGAAGTTTAAATAAATAAAAAGAAGGAAGACTAAAAAAAATAATATGAAGGGGATAATAAAGACTATGATAAATAAATCGAAAAAGCTATATAGAAATAATAAGAAGTTAAAAAGAAATATTATCGAATAAAAGATATTGATTTATTTATATATTAATATAATATTAATTTGAAAAGAAAAATTCAATTAAGTGACGAATAATTCAATTTTTTTTAATTCATAATTGATTTATATATAGAATAGATACTTAAAACATATTAGGAATTGATAATATAATTTAAATTCTAATAAAAAATTTCTTTAATAAATGGATAAGACCTATAATAAGTTTTAATTGTTTTAATTAATTAATTTGATAGATTATTAATACCATCTTTTGATTCTTTTAAAGTAAAAAATACTTATTTAATAAAATAGGTAATTGATTGCCTTATTTTTTATGAAGGAGACTCCTTTTTAAATTTCTTAATACATATAATGTTATCTACTAATTATACGAGTTAGAATGTATTAAATGTGCTAGTTTTTAATGATTTGAATAAGGAAAATAATAACGTTTTATTAAAAAATGTTTTGTATAAAACTATGTGTATTATCAAAAAGTTAATTAAATATGAACATTTTTTTAGTAGTTTTAAGGCTTTTGTTGCTTTTGATGGAATTTTTAACTTTTTTAAGAATCTAATAAGTAATATAAAGGACAAAAATATAGAAGATGGGTTTAAAATATTAAGTTTATATACCTTTTGTTTGTAAAAAAGTGAAAAAATTCACGAATTTGTTAATATTTTTTGCCTTGAAATATTAGATGGGTATATAAAAGCTTATGAGTTTATTTATTAGGCTATTTTTGATAAAGCTTTGTAATAAAATTAAAGTTTTGATAAAATTTATAAAATAACTTTAAGTGATATTTTTGGTATTTTAAATGAAAAACAAACAAATGAAAATATTAATTTATAAGATATTTTTGATTAAATAAAAGAGGAAGACTAATTTAATTAATTTGCAAACGATATATATTAAGACAATTATTAAATTAGTTTAAATAATAACCATAAAAATTAATAGACTAGTCAAGTCTTAGAATAAATTATATAAAATTAATAAGAATAAAAAAATGCAATGCAATATTAAGTTATTTTCGAATAAAATGATATTAAAGGGTTTGAAGGTCTTTTCGAATAAATAGAAGAATATGAAATTAATAAATTTTAAAGAAATTAAATTCGAAGTTTAGACCAATTAATATTGCTAAAAAAACAGTTTTTTTCCTTTCCAAAAAGCAATTAAATTTCCCTAAATTTTAACTCGAATTTAAAAATACAATTTTATTTAAAAGAAAACCAATAACTAAATAAAGAATAAGATAAATTTATTTATCAATCACATAATATTGAATAAAAGCCTTTATAAGATATATTAAGTTAAATTCAAGAAGAATAGGATAATATCTAAGAAGAAAAAGAATAATAAATTAATAAAATTTAATATTTTAACTAATAGTAATGTAATAGTGAGTCTGATAATTAAGATGAATAAAATAATAAATTACCTTAAAATTATGGGTATCCCTAAAATGCCTTGTAACTATACAATTTAGACGAGGATTACTATTTTGGTTTGGAAGATTATGATAAAAGTGTTTATTTAAAAAAGGGATAGGAAAAATATTAAAAGCAGAAATTATTGAAGTTTAAAATTATTTTGGAAAGGGAGAAATTTTCAGTAAATAAATTTTTTAATAATAAAGAAGAATAGAAATAAAATTAAAAAGCAATTTAAGAAATTTTACATTCGGATGATTTTAACTAATTTAGAAAATAATTTAATTTAAAAGAATAAAGGTAGTTAATATTTAGTTAAGATTAAGATTTTATTGAAAATTTAAATGAAGAATAAAAAAAGGATAATTAAGAGTATTTTGAAATTATTAAAAGAACAAAAAATGAATTCTTTTTTAAAGAAATTAAAAATTAAGAAGATTAAGAAGATTCAGAAGAAAAAGAAGAAGAAAAAATTTCAGAAAATTAGAATTTTAATCAAAAAAGTTCATTAGAAAAATAAACTTCTTAAAATTATTTAAGTCTAAAATAAATAAAATCAGAAAAAGTATATTTTATTATTCAATATATATGTTAAATATTATATTTAAAATAATTATTAATTGAAAATAAAACTAGGAAGATAATAATTAATAAAAGGAAAACGATTATATAAATAAAATTCTAAAAATACCTATTATTTCGTAAGATGTGGCAATAAAATTAATAATTTATGTAATTTTATAGAGAGAACTTTTACCTTAAGTTAAAATTGCTTTAGATATTGCTTTTATTAATCCTATTAACTATTTTAGAATAAGTGGATTGATTCTATATTTATTAAAATAAATTATGCAAAAAAAATAGACAGGTATTTAATATTTGGATAATATTTTGTATTAGGACGCTGAATTATTTGAAAGTAAATCCGATCATACTAAAAGGAAATTAAAAGTAAATAAAATATAAATAATATAAATAGATTTAAAAATAAAATGTATTTAAAAAATTCAATATATATATATATATATATATATATATATATATATATATATATATATATATATTAAATATTTTAAATAAAATATAGTTTACATATAAAAAATACTTAAAGCTTAAAATTATTAGAATTATATAAAACTTATTTGAATATGTTTAAAATTGTATATTTTATTAAGGAATTTAAGTTTATAAGATTTTTTGGATATATTTTGATAGTTTTCTAATTTTTAATAATAATTATTAATTTTAAAAAGAAGTCGAATTTTATTTATTTAAAAAAACTAATGAAAATATAAAAAACTATGAAAATATAAATCAATTAAACAAATAATAAAAAATATTTCTAATATAAAATTTTGATAAATTTAAATATGATATATTAAAAAAAGAAGAAGTTTTTATTAATATATTTGATTTAATTTCTTAAATTTTTTAATCATTTGAAAAAAATGAATATAAAAAAACCAAAAAATAATATAAATTTTTTATTTTAAATGAATAAAAATAAATAATTAATTATATTTAAGACATTATATATTAGTATAGGTAAAAAATTTTATATATAGAAAATATTGGAAATGATAATGTTGTTTTTGGATACAAAATACTAAAAAGTTCGAGTAAAAAAGATTAAGAATTATAATATTATTATAAATTATTTGATTTTTATATTTACTATGGTTTTTATGACGAGAAAAGTATTAAAAAAGGTTATTTAGAAAAAGATTTAAATGAAAAAAAATATTTCGAAAGATTTTCCTGTTATTTTTTCGAAAAATTTAGTCAGGAATCCTCTTTGGTTTTAGGCTAAATAATAGAGGAGTTAAGAAGTATAAATTAAAGGATAAATAATGTGTATAATTTGGAAAATTTAAACGAAGATTTTAAAAATTAAAATAGTATTAATGTTATTAAAAGTCTAAATTTACAATTTAAAATGGTTTTTAAAGTAAACAAAGAATTTTTTGAAAAATATTTAGGAATAATTTATTAATATGTGAATATTTTTTTATAAAAAATCGATTTTTTAGTAAAATAAGAAATGAAAACACATAAAAAAAAATATGAATAATTGAAAAAATCAGATAAAAAATAAGCCGATGAATATTGGTATTAAATGCTCGAAAAAGAAAGAATAATATTAAATAAGAATTTAGGTATTTATGGTTTGAAGAAAATAAGCATTTATAGAATTTTTTTATTAAATTTTCGAGTTAATAGATATTTCTTTTTAAATTTAATAATTTAATAGTTCTTATGTGAATATATATTTTAATGGATTGAGTTTATTTATTAATTTTTACTAAACTATCTTTATGTAAAGTGAAGAATAATCCGAATTGCCTGTTCTGAATAAAATATATACAAATGAACCTCAAGATATATAAGAAAGTTAATAAATATAAAATTATAAATATGAAAATTTAAATATGTAAGATTTATTGAGTATTTTATTAGAAAAATTTTAAGATTTATTTTTGGAAAGTTTAAATAAATAAACTAAAGACGATTAAATTTGGTAGAATTTCTTTTTTAACCTAAATTTTAAGCGTCTAGACTTTAAATTAAAATTATTAAAAATCCAATATAATGTTAAAAACTATAACAAAAAATCTGAAAATGACCCTTATGATTCTGATAATTAATAATATTTGTAATAGACTCATATATATATAAGTAGGGAAAATATATGGAATAACACTTTAAGTCATATTATAGGAATACCTTTAAGAATTTTCATTTAGCATAGTTTATAAATTACCTTTATGGGTGAAAATGGATATGATATGGGAGGATTATCAAGGGAATTTTATCCTTTGGCCTTTAAGGATTTTTTGGATCCTTTAAAAGGATTCTTTTAAGTTTCTTAGAATGGAATTACGATGTAGCCTTCCCCTTTTTCCTGTTTTATTCCAGATTATTTGACTCATTTTAAATTCGCAGGAAGGCTTTTGGCAAAATCAATAATTGATGATTTCGATTGTGAGATTAGTTTAACTTAATCTTTTCTTAAGTAAATTCTAGGATTAGATTTATATATAAGTGATTTGGAAGATATTGACCCTGAATTAACTAAAGGACTTATTTGGATTTTAGAAAATGATATTTCTAAAGAAGATTTGGCTTTGAATTTTACTTATTCTTTTTAATAATTTGGGTATTAAAATTGTGTACTTTTGAAAGAAAAAGGCGATTAAATTCAGGTAAATGAATAAAATAAAAAAGAATATGTTAAACTAGTTGCTGAGTTTTGGATGATTAAATTAGTTGAAAGTTAAATTAAGGCTTTTATATAAGGATTCTATGATGTTATTCCTTATAAATTTATTAGAATTTTAAATTTGTAAGAATTTGGATTGAAGTTGTCTGGTGAAAGTTATATTGATATTTATGAAATGAAAAAATATATCAAAACCTAAGATTTTAATTCATAAAGTATATAAATTAGTTGGCTTTTTGATATTTTGGAAAACTTTTCTCAAGAACAGAGAGCAGCTTTTCTTTTTTTGTAACTGGGTCGTTTAAAGTGCCTTTTGAAGGCTTTAAAAATTTTAGAATTACTATTTGTAAAAATAAGAATAAAGACAGTTTACCAATAGGCAGAACATGTGGTAAAATTTTAGGTAATAATTTAATATTTTTTTATAATTATCATTTTTTAAACATTTTTTATTTTTAATTAATTTATATTTAATCTTTTTAATTAATAATTTTTTTTTTTTATAATTATTCTTATTATTTATTTTCTAAATTAATTTTTATTTTTATAATTATCTTTTTAATGTAAAAAAATTATATATATTTAAGTAAAAAGAACATAACAAAATATATTTATAATAATATATATATATTTAATATATTTAAATTTATAAAAAAAATTTTTAATTATTTTTATTTTATTTTTGATTTTTTTATTTTTTATTAAAATATTTTTTTTTTAATTAATTTCTTATTATATTATTATATACTTTATTTATTTTTACTATTATTTTATTTTAAGAAATACCAGAATATTCATGCAAAGAAATTATGAAATAAAAATTATATATTGCAATAAATGAAGGTTCATATGGATATTATAAAAAATGATAAAATTATAAAATATAATTTTATTATAAATAAAATTTTAATTATTTTTAAAATTATATTTAATATTTTTTTTTTAAAGTAAAGATATTTTTATTTACAATTATAAAAATATTCGTAAAATAATAGTAAAAAAATAATTATACATACATATATATTAGGAAATAAAATATTTATTTTTAAATATATATAAAAAAATTAAATATATATAAAAATATTAATCATAATAATATATGATTTAAAAAAAAATGAATATAAATATAAAATTATGAGTTAAAAAATATTGAAATAAGTAATAAATAATTATAAAATAAATATTTTTTTATTAATTATTTAAGTAAAATAAATTAATTTTAAAAAATTCTTTAATATATTTAAGAAGATAAATTATTTAAGAAAAGTATTAAATTAATAAAATAAAATATTGTAAAATAAATAATAATAATAATAATAATAAAAATAATAATAATAATAAAAATAATAATAATAATTTATTATTTAATTCCACTATATAATTAAAATTTAAATTTCAGATTATCTGTTTTTATTATAATTATTTAATTTATTTTTTCTTTTTATTAATTTAATATTAAAATTATAATCATATTTTTTAAAAAATAAATGTCAAAACACACATATTAAATTTAATAATTTTTTTTTTTTTAATATATACATTTAAATAATATATAAATACATATAATTTATTTTAAATATTTATATTAAATGATAATATTATTCAAAATATAATGCATATTTATTTATTATATTTTAATTAATTAATTAGTCTAATATATCAAGATATAAAATATATTATTATTTAAAAGTTTTTATAGCTAAATATAATATAATTTATTTTTTCTTTTATAATAATTTATTAATATAATTAAATTATTTTTATTTAATATATACTATTTATAAATCTTTATAATATAAAATAAAACTATATTTATAATTTTTCTTTTTTCGATAAACACGATTTTCTTATTTAATATAAATATTATAATAAATATTTTATCAATTAACTATTTTTATATATAAAAATTACTTAAATAAAATATATATAGTAAATATATCTAAAAAGAAAAATATTATTTAATAATGAATGACAATTATTATTTACAATATTATTTATTTATTTATTTATTTGAAAATATAATTTTTAAACTATAATTAACTTATTCTTAATAAACATATTATTATGGTTTTATTTATAAATCAAATAAATAATAATTCTATACATGGACATAAATTTTTTTAAATAAATAAAAATATTTTTTATATTTTTGTGATTATATATAAAATAATTTATCATTTTAATTTTCTTTTTTTATTTTTGGTATAAGAAAAATTAAATTTTCTCAAAAAAAAATGTAAAAAAAACTATATTTTAATTAGTAAAAAATGTCTATTTATTTTTATTTTTTTCATTATTTTTATTTTTTTTTATTAAAAAATAAAATAAAGTAGTTATATATTTATTCAAATTATATATGAAAATATATCATTTTACTTGTTCTTCCTACTCATTTTTATTAGCTTATTCATATAGAATATTCCATTAAATAACCACTTCTTATAAATTATTAACCGATAAACTTAATTAATTATTAAGAAATTTATTTAATGATTCCCAAAGAGGTTATACAATCATTTAAATAAATCCAATTTCATTTTTTGCCAAAATACGCATTTTATCTAAATCTTTCAAATAATGAGTTTATGGAATACCTAGTTTTCCCTCCTCTATATACTATTAAGAAAACTCCTTATTAACCTTAACACTCCATTATTTACTTAATTCAAATTTTTATGCTGTATGGTAAAAATCTGATGTATGAATAACAATTGCCGTAAGTAAATTTGAGTCATTTTCTTCTAATTTTTAGGAAACAATGAATTTTTATTAAAAATCTTTTAAATAATTAAAATGTTTGCTCATATCTGTCGCAAGAATATTATTTATTACATATTTTCTTATTTAAACAACTTTAGAAATTGTTAAGTTTTTAAAAATATTATTTTCATGCGTTTTTAGGATTTTAAACGTAGTTGCTATATGATGTTGCTCTAAAACACTAATATCTGAATACCTTATAGCCAATTTAGACATACAATTGACTTCAAAAACATTAGACTTCCCTCTATGGCCTACATCATGGCAAAGTCCACTAAAAATTAATGAAAATTCCTATAATCCCGATATATAATTCTTTACATCTGTATTACATCCTATCATATAGCATCCATGCATAACCATTAAAGCATGATCGAAATTATGGAATGTATTGTTTCTTTTATTATATCTAATTTATAGTGCATAGACAAAGTTTATGAATTTTTTTAAGGGTATATTTAATTTTTTGAAAAAGTCACGCTTTTAAAAAATGGTCCAAATAAGTATAATTTTCTTTTTCTCATCTAAATCCCATACATTTAACTCAAAAGAGTCCAAATTTTAATTTATTTGATTATCAAATTTTAAATCTTCTAATTTTGCATGTTCATTATGTTATGTTTTTTAATTGTTTTCATTTCCTATATTGTTTGTATTTTTTTTTTTAATAGGAAATAATTTTTTTATATATAGAGAATTCTCATATTAATTTAGGCATTAAATTTCCCTTTTTTCGGCTATAAATACTTAAGAAAATCCTAAAAAAGAGCTCCTTTTTTCTTAATTGACTTTCTTTTATTCAAAATAAGATAAAAATTCTACTGCAGTTGAGTTTTTGGCATCATTATCACATAAAATTATCTATATTTTTTATAAATTAAATATATATATATATATATATATATATATATATATATATATATTATTTTTTTTTTTTTTAACATTTTTAGATTCTACTGCTGTGAAATAATTTAATTTATTTTTGATTTTTGTGTTCTATTTATTATTAGATAACAAAATAGAAGATAATGCTTCATCTCCGAATTCTTATACATCAAAAATTTCCCTTATGTACAATTAAATATACTTAATTTTATTTTTTACATTGACAATTCCTACTAATTAATATTATAAACTGGTTTCATTATTATCTTCTGTATTATAAGAATATGAAAAAAAAGCGCTTTATTGGTAACTTTCTTTTATATTATAATGCAATTGCTCGCATTGGGAAAATATTTGAGTATAACTCATTGAAATGGGAGTATTTGGAATGTCTAATTTTAATTATTTTTGCATTTTTTAGGAAGGAATTTTGTTTATAAATACTAAGTTCCCTTTGTTATTGAATTCTAAAAAAATCATCTTTTTTACATCTATATTTCTCTTCTAGCAATTTAAGCGTTCGATTTATCTTTCAATAAAATATTAATGCTTGTAAAATACTTGTGTTATGATCTTTTTTTTTTAAATATATAAATAATAATAGGTATGTTTTTTTTTTACAAAAAAAGTTATACATTCTCATAAGCTTTGTAATAATTTACTCTTTAGACTTAAGATATTCTTACATATGATAAATAGTTAAATTCACTTTCAATTATTGATATTTTACAGGGTATTACATATTAATCATTATTATATAAAAATGATTCTTATTTATTTATCTTATTTTTATATATTAATTTTTTATTTTATTTTTATTTTTTTTACTAAGTTATTTTGTTTATCATAATTAAAATATAGCTAACTTTCGAATATTTGTTCAAAGATTATTTAGAATTTATTAAAAAGAATATACTTTTATAGGTTCATATATTATTAAATCATATTAAATAATTATAAAATAAACTAATACCTAATTAATTATAAATATAAAACTTAGTGTTATAATATATACATTATAAATACCTATTACTAATCTTATCTTTTAATGTTTAAATGACAATATCAATTGTTATTATTATCAAATTTTAAAACTTGTTAAATAAATAATAATTATCATAGAATTTTTTAAAATTTTCCGAGTATCCCTAATCAATAATAAAATAAATAATAAAAATCTTATCATCAATAGTTTTCTTAACAAAATAACATAATTTATTATCTATTTTACTAATAAAACATTCTTTTAATAGTTCTTTTTCATCTTCTCCTAAATAAAATATAATGTTTTCTTAAAACAAATCTAAGTTTTTCTTAATTCTATTTTTATCTTTAATATCCTAATTTATTTATAAAAGAAAAAATGTATTAAAAATAAATATACTGCACTAGCTATATTAATAGAATATGAAGAAAAGAATTAAATACTATTATTTCTTATTTCACATAATTCAAAATCAGAAATATTAAACATTAGACGAATTGTTACTTTAATAAAACTAATAACAGTATATAAATTAAACTCGTTAGTACAAGGAATAATTAGGCTTTTATTTAAATCTAAAATAACTTTTTTTATTTATTTATAATGGATATCTATTTATTATTAAATAATATTATTAATTTCTTCTGTAATTTTTCTTTTACAATAATAAAATAAATATGTACATAAATTTTATATTTTATACTTTTCAGGGGACAAAAAATTCAATAAATAATTTAATTATTCAGAATAGATATCAACTTTTAATTATCTCCATTAAATTTCATTAATAAAATTAATATTATTAAAATTAGGTTTTATTACAGGAGGATTATTTTATATAATTGAATCTTCTAAGTCTAAAATTTCTTTCTATTCTTATTATAATATTATTTTTGAATTTCTTTAAAGTCTATTGGTTTCGTTTATATTTTATTATTATTTGCATATAATTTAACTAATATAATTTTTAAACATTATTACATATTTTATTTCTTAAAAATTCTCTTTAGGCTCTCTAATATAAATGTTTTGGATTTTTAAAAACTCGGGATCGTTTTATAATGATTTATATATTAAAATTTATTATTCTTGAGAAGTAAATTTATTAGAATCCCTTAAACAACATATAAATTCGATTATATTTTCTTGTTTTGATGTTTAGTTATAATTATATCCTTTTCTATCTAAATAATTAAGACCTTTCATTTTTATTTATTTTGAATGATAGGGGGGAAGACT